ACATTACAAACAGCAATACCTGGAAAGGTTATACTAGTTGTGGGAATATTGGAATTGTCAGCAGTAATTAGAGTCGGATTATCGGTATATTCATTTAATAACTTTTCTAACATAAAACCAGATATAATCATCGCAAGCACACTGAAGACAATCCAAAATAGTCTAAAATACACAGTATTTATTTTTTAAACGAATACACTAAATTATTTAAAAAAAATTGTTTCAGACAAACAAAAAAAAATACGTGTGGCACTCGGGGACTGCCGCGGTAAAGCTATTGCATAGCATTTTTTATCAACTTATGCAATTATAATTATTTATTTTATTTATGCAGTATTTTTTTTTCTTTGATATTAATTCAAGTTACACTTTTTGAGCGTGGTGACCGATAAGAAAACAATTTTTTTTTCTTTTATTGAATAAATGAGAAGTTAATATTGTTTAAAATATTTTTATTATCTTACAATACATGTAGGTTATTCAGGAATTTTTATCATTGAAACTATAGGTTTATGGTAACTGAAATAAGAAACATAAGTTTGAGACTTGATATCCTCTAAATATCTGGAAAATACCGCGTCAATAGTGGTCCCATATTTTGTTTCGGTCGCCGCGCTCAAAGCCCGCGATAAAATCTGTCCAATAGCTTAATAATGAAATAGTTAACACTGATAAAATAAAAATTAATATTTTTTCTACACCCGTATTATAATAATGCACTTATATGCCCATAATCCGTTTCATAATGATACCCATTGCGATACAGATTTTTAATCAATAGAAACCTACAATTTTTCAATCAAGCATGCTGTTTGACGTTTGTCCTAGGTTCTTATGTAATTGTTTTAGTTGTCAAAACGTATTAAATTTTCGTAGATAGCTAAACTTCGATAATTATAACATTAAAATTTCTGATATCAGCAATATAGAAGACTCCTCCACACATATCGGAGAACGCAGAAAATACAGTACAAAAATTTTGCCGCAAAAATCTAGGGAAATACCAATACCCGAAGTAATACCATTAATTACAATTTTGTAGAATTTTTTATAGAAATACGAGTACCTAATTACTGTTATTGTGTTCAATACCAATATAAATATAATATTTATAGGTCTTGATTATTTATCGGGTGTAGAAAAAATAGCGTATGCAACTCTCATGTAATGGTTATTAAAACACTCGCATAAACCATACGAAACTCGCCTTTGGCTCGTTTCGTATCCCGATTAATGCTCGTGTATTAATAACCATCATTACATGATCGTTGCATAATATACTATTATAAATCTTGCAAAAAAAAATTAATATTTAATATTTACGCCAACCGGGAATATTGGTGATACCAATTTATTAGAAGCCATAGAAAGCTCTTCTAGTTCTTGTATTGCATGAACGTGCCAGTCCGCAGACGTATATTTAACTCTGCTTCATACTAATACGAACAGGGTCGGATAAAACCTTCCACGGCTTTCAAAACGCCGCATCGCTGTGCCGGTCGGAGTGGGGGGGGTGTTAGGTTTATTTTCGTTACGGAATTACGAAATTTCTTGATTCGGTCGCCACGCTCAAAGCCCGCCATAAAAGCTATTACTACGTTAGCCTGATACTAGATTAAAAAAGAGACATGCTTACCTCTCTATTGAAGATATGTTTTTGTTACTAATTCTCTTGCAACCATGAATGCTGGTATGTTCTAAAAAAAAACTGAAAATGCTCGTTAAAGTTTCTTCTTTTTGCTTATTTGACTTTTGATTCACATTTTGAATATGTTTCCGCATTTTAATTAAGTCAATTTGCTTATTATATTTTTTCATTTTGAAAAGTGTTTGATCAATTTAATGCCCAATGCGTTACTTATAAATCCTACTAAAAATTACATTTATGTACGATTTTAATTAATAATTTTTATTTGATGATTTCACTGATAATTATAATTATTTACCTACATGAAAATATATTTTACTGTAACATGCTATTTAGCTAGATAATTAATCAATAAAAATTATTATTTTAAATAAAATATTAGGAATATAACGGAGAGTCTTGAATAATTAATTATTTACAATTATATTTTCGTCGACCACTAACATTAGTATATCTATTTAACTTTCCACAATTAATGTATTCCACGTTATGTGGATCAGATAATAAATCAAAATAGATTAAAACACATAAAATATAGCGGTCATTATTATTGTCTCTAGGTTTTGATTTTCTTGAAGAATTACTTCTAACTTAGAACCCTATCGATTTTCAGAGTTTTCGGTTCATCCTAACTACTTTAATATTAATTTTCTTAAAATCCACCTATGCATTTCTTATATAACTAATTTTAGGAATTCCAATTATTTCTAACGTCTAACATTCTTTAAATTCCATACATTGCAAACATTATCCAACGATCTGTCAAACAGCTATTGATTGTAAAGATTAGATTTCTAAGGCGGGTTGCGACCTTCATAATGCAAACAGCCATTTTGGAGGCTATTTTTATTCGAAATTAGTCGCCAAGCCTGCCAATTTATGAAAAATATAAAAGTTTCTTAAAAATTACTTTTTTTATGGTGGTGCTAACTTAAACTTACTACTATTTCGCCCCTAGCCACAAAAACACCTTCATCAAATTTACTTGCTCTCTGTTGCAACCCGATAGAATAATTAACCGGTCATTTTATTTGGCAAAAATCAAAATAATCCTTGGCTGTGCCTGTCAAGTATCAAGATGTCAACTGTGATGTGTGAATGGCTCTTAAATGTCAAATTATTTAAAAATGTTTTACGCTTCTTTTGATATTTATTGCAAATAATTTGTAGTGTATCTCAATTCCGGCTTTCCATAAATAAAGGTACAGCAAGACAGATAATATAATGTTCTTATACAAAGCACTTTTTTATTATACTCTTTTATATAATGCTGGTTTTAATTATACGATTTTGGATTACATTGATACCATATCGCAAAATAGATTCAACCAGCGAATTGTAAATAATAATTAGTCATAAATTTCCTCAATTCATAAAATTTAAAAATGAATCTTCTAACGTTGGTTGTTAATGACATAATGTGATCAACCCATTTCAAATTTTGATCTATTATGATACCGAGGTATTTTGTTGTGTTTTTCATTTTAATTAAGTAATTAATCATTTATGTGTATGTTGAAAGAAGGCCTTTGTAAATTATATTGATCTCTATGGATCTACTTTAACACAAAAATAGTTTTGTGGCTATAAGTTGCTATAACATAACCTATAGTCACAAAACTATTAATACCTAATTTAAATATAGTAGGTATAAATAAAACATCAAGTAATTTTTTAAAATAAAGTACATGATCTCAAAACAGAAATAATTTATAATAAATACGGGTAAAACGAGGGGTAAAATAATAATAAATTAAGGGAAATACTTAAAAAGGGCAGGTTTAAAGAGTATTATCACAAGAAAGTAGGTATACATGTTCTGTTTATTTATCAAGTATTGTTTGAGGTTACTTATTTTGAATACATTTATTGTTTTTTTTTTTAATTTCTGTAGACAGTCTATTAAATTTTTGCAAACCTTTAATAAAAATTGTATTTTGGGAACTTTTAGTGATGACTTGCCGTACATGAAAGTCAGATTGGCTTGTATTATAGTTGTGATATTGCGAATTATATTGAATTTTTTCTAATAGATCTGATGCAATGGTACTATGTCATTTTTATTTTATAAAAAAAATATCAGTCATGTACTGAATATAATTCTGAACTGAAATCCTATTTATTTCTTTTAACATAGTTGCAATACTCATACTTCTGTCCTTTATTAATATTATATAAATAGGCGAAGTAAGGAGCCCAAATATTTTACATGAGCAGGCTTAAGAGGTAAAGGGCCCAATTATTATTGGATAAGTTGCTCGAACAAGTACCTTTGTGGATCTCAGTCTCGATAAGGTGAGTACCACCATTTTAGCATCTCTCGAATTTATGACTGAAACACGAAACATACTACAACTGAAATGAGCCCGTGTTCGTTATACACATAATGTCTCAAATGAGTAATGTTTACGAAGGTTGGCCATAATTAGGCATTGTGTCATTTTTCATGATAAAATTGTGATTTCTGTTCGTTCTGTACATTTCGTTCTAATTTAAAAAATGTAATTGCTTCGGTATTGTCGCAAATCTCAGCGATATGTTGAACAAAATATCGGCAACGATATCGTACTATAGGTAGGATTCCCCATTTGGTCATTCAATCTGTTGGATTCTATAATTAACAGTGCTGCTCCTAAAGTGACGCTGGGAAATAATAACAAATCCTGCACAGAACACACACACTAATAAAAAATATATAAAATTATAAAGTACTGTGGTAACTAGACTTGCTCGTCTGAGGCCATTTCTACTGAATATTTCAAAATAAAATTATTTAATATAGTTCAGACTTTCTTGTGCAGAGTTTATCGAATGTTTATGGTTGTATGTGCTGTTCAATTAAGGGATGTTCCTTCTTAGGGTTCTGTACCCGAAGAGTAACCACCGGGACCCTATTACTATAAGGCTCCACTTTTCATCCGTCTGTCTGTCAACGGGCTGTATCTCATGATCCGCAATAAGTAGAAAGTTAAAATTTTCACAGAATGTGTATTTCTGTTGCCGCAGTAACAAATAAAAATTATAATAAAAAGGGGACACCCCTAATAGAAACGTGTTTTTTTTTGACTTTTTTGCACGATTTTAATAAAGTATTTAAAAAGTACCTACATAGTATTAAATCTGTACGATGGTGCGGAACCCTTCATGCACTTGGTCGGTTTATTTAATAATTTTGAGCTTTTTTAATACATCAAAAAACAGCTATACCTATACTCATCATGAAATACAATTATATACGGATCAGTTTTGCTATATTTTTGAGATATGAATGTAGTATATCATATTGTTGATCTTTGGTACAAAGAAGTATTTAAACCAAAGTCCCGATTCACTACCGAAATAAAAATCAACATAAAAAATATTATATATTTTTATTTAAATATAACACAGATCAAAGAAATTGTTTAATGTTTAATGATCAAATCACTGGTTTTTAGAATGTGTCTTCATATGAAACCTTAAATGATGAATTCTTCTAAATGTTTTTCCACATGTTACACATAAAAATGGTTTAGATTCGTTATGAATGGCTGTATGTTCTTTCAGATTTTTGGGATCCGAAAATGATTTCTGACAAATGTTACAGATTAAAGGTTTTTCTCCTAAAATAAATACGTATATAAATATGTTCTATTTATAGATCTATTTCAAAATACTTAAAATTACGTCAAAGGTAGGTAGGGCGAACCTCTTGGTTATATATCTATGGGAGAACCCGAATAGAGAAGATACCATTCCGTCACACTTTGCACATCGACTTCACCGTTACAGATAGATTAGATTAGAAAAAAATTTATTTACAGGTTTAAGAAATAATTATATACATATCACAGCTAAATAAAATAAATCGGCACTACAGAGTCTACAAGACTTTTCATGCGGGCCCACTAGACCATGGTGTGAACATGTTCGCCTATTAAACTTATCTGCGATTTAAAATTGGGAAATATAACAGCTCTCACTCCTTACCGATGCGGTATCATTGAGGGATTATCAATGAACTGGAGTGGGGTACAAAGCCAATGTCCATATTGTATCAATAGAACAAGATGTGACTCTATGGGCGCAGCCATTTTTATTTCTCATCTCACTCGGGAGTATTTATACTAACCATTTTCTGTTTCACTTTGTTATTGTTCAATCCACAAGCTGGTAGATCATGCAATAACAAAGTGAAATAGGAAATGGTTGATATAAATACTCCCGAGTGAGATGAAAAATAACCTGTCTTCGCCCATAGAGTCGCACCTCAAGCCTATTGACAAGCATTCTACCCACTTCAGTTCATTGGGGATTATGATGGGTTTTGGATCGGGAATGGGAAAGTGTTTATGTCTTTGTGGAGTTTTAGTTATGGCTTAGTCCCCTGAAAAAGCTAGAAAAACAGGGTTGTCTTTGTGTGTACGTTGGTCATGTAGTCTTTGTTTAATACTACAGCTCACTCGCAGGATGAACGATGGATCCCCGCCAGTGTATCAACCGCGAATGTAAAGAGTTCGCGCTCGGTGCTCTAGTAGCTGATCCACCGCGGAGTCCGCTGTCCGACTAGATGGTGTAGATACCTAGCCGAAGTGACATGTTATTTAGTTTGTTTGTCGCTGTTATGAGGGATGTTATCGTCTTTGTCTGTAAATGTAGAGTCTTGAATGTATACAACCGTGCCACAGTTTATTGCTAAAGAATCAGTTAGCTCACTTGGACCAGTTGAATGTTCCAAAATAATATCCACTCCAGGGATACAAATTCAGGATGCGCAGATGACTGCTGTTTGAATTATAGGCGGTTGTCATATATTTGATTGGTTATGATTTGATTCTGTATGCACCAGGGATACAAATCCGAGTTGCGCAGTGTATAAACTGGAACATTGAGATCAAAAGTGCCGACGCAGAGTGAGCGAACTGATTCTTTAGCTATAAACTGTGACCGTGCTTCTTTCGCACGTTGTCCCCCCGATATATATATCGATATCATCTTTTACATAATCGGGAACACACCGCAGGTAGAAATTTTCGGCTGTCTTGAGTATGAAGTCTTTGATTAAAGGGGTGTCTGTCTGGGAGTGCATGTCTGCTATTCGTGCATAACGGTCGTAGCCTAGCGCTAGCATTAGACATCTGTTTTGGGTGATTTTCAATTTGTTATAATGGCTATTTGCCATTTAGCAGAAAACCGAACAGCCATATGTCAAGATGGGTCTAAGGATGGTTGTAAACATTAATAGCTTATTTGAAAGCGTGACTCTGCTCCTTTTGTTCAATAATGGATATAGCATTTTTATTTCCATGTGGTTTTTATTCACTCAGTCAGTAGGTCAAATGTTGACCCCCTATCCAGCTGAAAACGCAGGTATTTCAATTTTTTGTCTGTGGTGATTTGCTGATTATCTATTGAAAGCGGTGTTAAAATGGCCTGTGTCCTGCGATTAGTATTCAACAAACTTTCAGTTTTGGCTGCATTAATTTTCATTTTATTTTCAGCTAAATAGGGGATTAATGTCTCGTTTATATGGCTATCCAGTTCTCTTACTGCTGTTTCCGCGGATCTATCGCTCTTGAATAGACAGATGTCGTCGGCGTACAGTGCCGTTTGTACCCCATTATCACCCATTGGCAAGTCATGGGTCATAATGGTATAGAAGTGGGACGACAGTAATGAGCCCTGGGGTACTCCCTATAAGGTCCTGTCGTTGTGTTGGTAATCTTTACATTAAATAGTCTGTCTATAATGTATGACTGAATTATTTTGACAATGTGAACAAGAAAATCATTTTGTGAATTAACCCGCAGGTCCACACGGTTTCAAAAGCCTTTTCGCTGTCAAGCGCCACGAGCACCATTTGTAGGTCATTATTACATGCCTCTTTAGCGCGAATCTAATGACCTGGGCCACGGTGCTGTCCGCTTCTGAAACCGTACTGTTCCTGCGGGATAAGTCGTAATTGTTCTTCTGTTTAATATAATTGTCTACTATTTTATTTAACAGCAAGATGGGTCGGTAGCTGTCAATTCTATTGGGATTTTTTCCCGCTATCAAAATTGGTATGATATTTGCAATCTTCATGCTACTGGGGTAATGTTGTAGCCTGAATATTGCGTTTATTACATAATAGAGTTGCACAGTCCCCTTTTTAGGAATTTTGTTGAGTAAAACGTTACTATATCATCGGGCCCCGGTGCTTTTCTATTTTTGAAACGTTTAATAGTGTCCCCTACCTCTTTAGGAGTGGTCATAAAGGAGTGGGGTACGTGGATTGGGTCAGACTCTCCCAGGTCTCTGATAATGCCTTCGATTACGTTTTGATGCTCATTGTTAACTGAATTGTTGCGAAAATTCGATTGAAAGTGCTCACCGAAGGCTTGAGCTTTCTCGTTGTCTGTAGTGTGTGTTTCTTGTACTTGTATCAATGTGGGAAGTAGCGAATAGGTTTTTTTTATACCTCTTCACTACTTTCTACAGCTAATTGCCCTTTGGGTTAATTTCGGACAGGATTTTTTGCCAATTATTGTTTCGATATTCATTTATGGCTGAATTGATGTGTTTTGCGATATCCATGAGCATAACCCTGTCCTCAGTTCTCCTGTAAAGCTGCCACCTTTTTCGTATTTGATTTTTGTTGGCTATTAGTTCTAAGATTTCGGATGGCAATGGCAGCTTATCGTTATGTTGTGTCGTTGTCTTTAGTGTTGTCGAGTCGTTTCTAGCTTTTTGTAAGACATTTATGAATTCTCTAGTGGTTTGTTCAAGTTGTTCGGTGCTTGTTATATTATTGTTTAGTGTTAAAGTTCCGTTGATTTTTTGTCTGTATGCGTTCCTGTCTGTCGTTTTGTAGTCGTTGTTTTTGTTGTCTATTTATTTTTTGTTTAGTCCTTATTTTAGAGCACACTGGATCATGATCTGAATTCATGGTACTGATAGTCCTTATGTTTTGAACAGTTACAGATAGACTTCAAATCAGTTGCGTGGCTTTATTAATACAAGCCAATTCACCTGCACGGCGCTACTGACACTGTTCAAGAACGATTTACCAAAGCGTCCAATAACAGCGAACCATTGCGAATCGTGACGTAATAGTATCTTCTCTATTTGGGTTTGCCCTAAAATAAAACATGATTCTCACATAAAGCCTTGCACAAAAATCTCGTCAGGTTGTGCTCTGGTGTTCAATGTTTTTTTTTTTTTTTTCATATTTTTACTTACCTGTATGTTTTCTAATGTGAATATTTCGATAATAAGACGAAGAGAATAACTTTGGACAATAGCTACATTGATATTGTTTAATATCCAAATGAGTTTTTACATGTTTGTTCAATATGGTCGACTGTGAGAAAGATTTTTGGCAATATTTGCATGAATATGGTCTTTCTCCAGTATGTATCCTAGCATGTGATGACAATTTACTGTTGGATATGAACCTAAAATATACATTTGTCCTAATACAGTCCTTATTCAGTACTTATACACTTGATTATAAAGAAACAAATACATTTTTAAATAACGTAAATACCGGGTGACTGTAAATGATTGTGATGTTTTTAAAAGGTTTCCACAACAAGGCACACATTTGTAGCATGCTCCAGACTTAAGGGTTAAAGAATCTAAATATTTTTATATGGTTAAGCTTGAGGGGGAAAATCAATTTTTTACACGGACCAGCTTAAGGAGTAAATCGGCCAACTATTATTACATGGACAGGCTTAAAAGAAAAGGGGCTAAATATGTTTACTCGGGCAAGCGTATGGAATAAAGAGACCAAATATTTTGAATGTGCAAGCTGGAGAGGCAAAGGGGCCAAACATTTTTACATGAGACGTTTTAGAGGGAGCAATTTTAAACATGGACAGGCTTAAGGGGCAACGAGCCCAAATATTTCTATACGGGCAGGTTTAAGGAACAAAGAGATCAAATATTTTTACATGGGCATACTTAAGGGATCCAAATATTTTTACATGAACAGGCTAAAGCAGTGTGAAGATCCTCTATTTGATTTAGAATAAGTAATGTCAATACTTTACAAACCTGAACATTCAATGTCTTAATACTTATCACAGTCTTTAATCTCATGTTCAAAATAAAATCGTTTCTCGTTTCCTGAATATCACGAGTTTGCCTTTGGGGGTGTCAGTCTCGATAAGGTGGGAATCAAGAATAGTTAATTTTTTTAAAACTAATGTTTATTTTCTTTATTTAGTTATTTTATTGTTTACTTTTTTTCAAAAATAGTCATTTATTTAGCTCAATATAGTTACTATTTTTTTTTCCCAAAATATTCATGTATACATTTAAAAAAAGCTACTGTTTCTGTTATTCTTCCAGTAACCTGTTGTTTACAAAATTTTCACCTGGTAATACTAGAGTGCCGTAGCTGCATTTATGAGCGGGAAACGACTGTGAACGTGCACAATGTGCGTATAGAGACAGCGTTCTGGTTCACGACGTTCAAGGCCATTCACGGAGAGAATTCTCGGCGTGTAAAGCGTGCATCAGCCAAGTTTAGTACATTTCACATTTTTTTTTAGTTTACTATACTACACCTATGATTACGTCAAGCAATAAATTGTCATCAGTATGACCATGGTATGACTATGAAGACTAGAGATATGAAGACTAGAGGTATGAAGACTAGAGATATGAAGACTAGAGATATATGAAGACTAGAGATATGAAGACTAGAGATATGAAGACTAGAGATATGAAGACTAGATATATGAAGACTAGAGATATGAAGGCTAGAGATATGAAGACCAGAGAGAAGGAGGCGAATCGGCAATGATCAAATTTCAAATTTTCGTCCTTTTTATAAAGTACGTCAACTTGTCTGTAGTTGGCAGGTCGAACGTCAGGGCCGTCAATTTTCAATCTAAGTCAATGTAAAATAGTTTTTTAATTGGCCACAAGAACCAAAATAATGTAAAAAAGTACCTGGCTACAAGTAACGTGAGTGACAAATAACATCAAAGCAAGATTTACTTCGTTCCAAGTTCTGGATTATGAATCGGAAACTAAAGAAAACACAACGAATATGTTGCCACTGTTCTAAACGTTTAGAACCATTTACAATGACAAAATTTAGGTTCAACAAAAAAATAACTTTTCCTCTAACAATAAAAATTAGGAAAAAACCCAATTTTCTTTTCTAGTAAAATAAATTTAATGTGTAGTTATCGTTGTTTGTAAGTAAGGATTTGTAAAAATCTGTAAAGAATAAACTACACTCCGTAAGATACTATGACTAGTTTACAATAAATATTATATTTAGAAATAAATACATTATTTTACTTACACTAGAAGCTTTAAAAAGACGAATTGATTTCATCTTGTGTTTTCTTTAGTTTTACATCTGATTTATGTCCCGTTTTATAGCCTGAAACGTTTCAACGTAAAGATCAACAACACAACGACAGGACCATACATCGCGCAGGCGGGAGTGCCCCAGGGCTCAGTACTTTCGCCGCATTTGTACACCATTATGACCCATGACATGGCAATGGGTAATAATGGGGTACGAACGGCACAGTACGCCGACGATATTTGTCTGTACAAAAGCAACCATTCAGCAGAAAGTGCCCTCAGGACACTGGACATCCATATAAACAGGAAGTTAGTCCCCTATTTAATTAAAAACAAAATTAAAATCAACCCCCAAAAATCCGAGAGCATGCTCATCACTAAGCGAAGGTCAAGGGGAGTTCATATACCGCTCAATATTCAGGGACAACAGGTAGACACTAGGGATAGCATGAAGTATCTCGGTTTTCAATTAGATAGGGGACTGACATTCGATCGGCACATCAAAGACAGGGTGGCTAAAAGTCATATAGCGATAAAAACTCTTTATCCTCTATTAAACAGGAGGAGCAAAGTCACCCTGGATAATAAACTTTTAATTTTCAAATCCATCTTAAGACCGATATTAACATATGGATGTCCGGTCTACTGCTCGATGGCCAATTGTCACTATAACAAACTGCAAATTGCACAGAACAGATGTCTTCGGCTAGCACTGGGCTACGACCGCTATGCAAGAATTGAAGACATGCACGTACAAACAGAGACTCCACGAATCAAGGACTATGTACTAAAAACAGCCGAGAATTTCTACATGCGGTGTCTCCCCGATAATGTGAAAGATGCCATCTTTAGCATCTATCGCGGGGACGGCGTACGTAGAAAACACAGCTGTTTACACGCGAAACTGGACATATACAGACACAGAAACATACAATAATAATAACAACAAAATACAATAACATTCCTCCTTAACGATCCCAGACAAACTAAACAACTAAACAACAGCTCAGTCAGCTCACACCGACTAGATACTCGCTCAAACTAGTCGGACGGTGGACTGAACGGTAGACTGGCCATCGAAGCAACAAGCGCGAAATCCGCGATTGTTGCCTCGATGGACAGTGTATCGAGCACTCTGCCTGTGAGTTGTATTACTGAACAATAGACTAAACAAACAACTATACACACAAGGACAACCCTGTTTTTTTTAGCTTTTTCAGGGGACAAAAACCATAACTCAAACGCGACATATCCTTTTACAAACTCCCATTACCGATTCCAAAACAATCCTAATCCCTCAATAATATCGCATGGTAAGGAGTGAGGGCTGCAATATTTGATCATTTTTTTATCAGAATATCGGTAGATATAGGTGGACAAGTCCGGTCGGACTCTAGACCAGCACGAAAGTAGAAGATCCCGGTAGTGTTGATTATACTATTTCATATTCTGAATTTGTAGATATTTTAACTATGTAAATAAAATCCTTGTTACTGTTACTGCTTTGATATTTTTGTCACTCATGTTACTTATACTCAGGTACTTTTTTTCACAATATTTTGATTCTTTTCACCAATTTAAAAAAAAAACACTATTTCATATTGACTTACATAGAAAATTAACGGCACTGACATTCGACCTGCCAACTACAGTCAATTTGGCGAACTTCATAAAAAGGATGAAAATTTGAAATTTGACCATTGCCGAATTCGCCTCTATAGTCTTCATAGTTGCCACCCCATTTAATAACAATCACAATCATAATATGGTCCTCCAGCATAAATATGTATATTTATATGTAAGTACCTCTTATGGCAAATATTACAAGAGTAGGGTCTCTCTCCACTATGCCTTCTGAGATGGACCGTTAGAGATGAAGTCTGCTTAAAAGATTTTCCACAAATAGAACAAAGATTTAATTTGTCATCGGGTTTTTGTTCAATCTTCTTTAAATTTTCATTTTCTTTGTGTATTCGTAAATGCAAAGATAAAGTTCCAGATTGTGTAAAATTGCTATTACAATATGAACAGGAATATGGTTTCAGGCCAGTGTGTGTAGTCATGTGACGTTTTACACTGGAATGTCTAAAATTAAAAAAACTATCAATTAATATCATGGTATAAAGATGTGATAAAGATAAATACTATTTATAACTTAGTATCACTGGAGGAATGTAGACTTGATGCAGATTCATTGTTTGTTTATAAATTGATTAATGGTTATATCTAGTGACCTGATCTATTGTCATAATTAGCTATCTATGTTTTAATGCTGGGCCAAACAGAAATAGACTATATTTTATATGTAATAGGGTGACCACATTTCGTTTACCCAATGCTGGATCTTTTTTTAGCTCCTCCACCCAAAGATAAACACAAAAACAGAAAAAGTAATGTAGAGCATACTAGATGAGGATCTTTTTTTTTCTTTTAGCTTCTCAACGCAAAAACAGAGAAGATGTCATGTAGATGATCTTTTTTTCTTAGTTCCCTAAGTCTTATGTGTTACGTTTCAGTAAATTATGTATCATATATTACATTTGCTAGACAATAATGGCGTTTTGCTGGACAAATGCGGCGTTTTGCTGTACAAGATCAAATGTTGGACACACTTTGAAAATGCTGTACAATACTGTTACCTTCTATTTGAATTCTACGATGTAAATTATATCTAATAGGCGATTTAGCTCAAATTGCTGGTACTGCGTGGATTCAAAACTTCAGGACAAATAAAATCAGAGTAGCTTGACCGGTTCGCGAGCCAAATCTACTTTACGATAAAATGAAAGATACCTACTATAATAGGTACTATAACGACACAAGAATGTTGAGCGCCACCAATTTTTTGAGTAAAAACTATTTTACATGCCCTGTTTCACTGAGTCGGTCTCTGGTACTTTAAGTTAACTGTTAAGAGTTCAGGCAAATAAAAGAAATTGATAAAATTTAATACATTTAATGAAAAAAATGCAATGTTACACAATGAATTACTGATTAATAACTTGGATGACTGAATGAACTTGAATATTAATAAAAATGGTTTTCTTTGGTTCGGCCATATGTGGCATTACACAGCGGTACTTCCCTGTTAAATCGTCTCCTAGGTAGATGAAGTCTATCCGATACTCAATGAGGCTACTTCGACATTACTTCGAGCTACGTGAAACTACGTGGAAACTTGGAAGCTACGTAGAAACTACTTCGGAGCTTCGTCAAAATTACTTGGAAGCTTCGATCTTGGAGCTATGTTATTTGGAGCTTGGAGTTAGGAGAAGCTGCATTACTTAGAGCTTGTTTGGAGAAGGTACATAACCTGAAGCTTGGAAGCTACGTACCTCGGAGCTTGTTTGGAGAAGCTACATAACCTGGAGCTTGGAAGCTATGTACCTCGGAGCTTGGAACTTGGACCTGGAGCCAATACATGTTTAGAAATAAAAAGAACCTCAGTAACAGGAATAGTACATCTACAGACCAGTTTGGAAATCTAACGGACTTATGCATAAATAGGACAAATATTAAAATTACATCATCTGAACAGAATATAAAATATTGATAGGGTAAAAATAAGTTATAACAATAAGTTTTACGTCATCTGAACAAAATATAAAATATTTATAAGGCCAAAATAAGTTAAGAGTCATAGATTTCCGTTTAAACTGTATTTCCCGACTGACTTGTAATTCAATTATTTAGTTGCCTTCCCGCGTATATATCAAAGGTAGCTTAAAAATATTAGGTAGGGTAGCTATAATCTATATAAAATAAAACAATAATAACCGGCATGGTGGTAATAAAAAAAAGCAAATGGCCGACCTATCGGCTTTCCAACTAAATCCAGCAAAGCGTTAAAATATTAGTTGAAAAAAAAAAACATTACCTGACAATTATCCCAACGGTAACACATAAACACATACGAAAGACACACGATAATTATCTAAATCTACTCATAATATCTGCAAACTAGTAGATTTGTCGACACAACACTAGCACATTGAAGTTTGAGTTCGCGATAAATAAAAAGGACTCTTAAAGCAACGGCAGCCGGTTTTATCTCAGCATGATTGCTGGGCACGTGCGCAAACCGTACTTTGCAATCCAGAGCGAGACGTCTTCGTTTAATTTTAGTCATTTACGAGGGGTTATGGAGAAGTTGTTAAAAATAAATTTGAAATTAATTTAAAATTAATTTCACGTAACAATACAATGAAATGCTGTACGTAAAGTCACCCTAATACATAAACACCAATAATTGTGCGTTAGATATATTCTACAAATATATTAGTTCATTTAAAAACTCCTAAAATCGTTGTAAATAACAGGAACATTAATTTTTTTGGTTTTAAAATTTTTATAAAAATATATTTCTATATATTTTATCTTCCTAAATTGTTTTTTTATAATTTTAAACTTGAATACATTTTTCATTATTTATCTAGGATTGTCAGTTTTGGCTATAAACATTCCTACTAAATAGAAATATATATACAGGGAGTACTAACGAAAACCTGACCCACCCCGCCCCCCTAAAACTTTCTTGGAAAGGGAACGAATTGTCATAAAATTCAAACACAAAAATCCAATCCCCTGAAGTCCGGCAGCAACCCCCTATTTTTTTAAATAGCAAATATGGTCACGTAACACATCACTGAAAACATGAGAATTCAGAAATATAACTATTAACTCAGTTACTTTTGATTTTAGCGCCCTCTAGCGGGGACAAAAAACGGTTACGTATTGCAAAGTATGACACTTCTTTTGAAAACTAATTTAATACGCAACATAACAAAATGTAATTGAATGAAATCTGAACTTAAATAATTGAAAAATCTTACATAGCTCTAACGTTAATAAATTCAAATTTTAATCACAATCAACCAAAATGTTCCACACTTTAGGTGACAGTTTTTTATCCCAGTAGAAAAGGCGCTAAAGTCAAAAGTACCACAATTATAATAGTCGAGTTGCTGAATATTCTCCATAAAATTATCTTTTCAATATGTTACTTGATCATACCTGCTACTTAAAAAAATAAGAGGTTGCTGCCGGCCTCCAGGGGGTCGATTCTCGACTCGTAGGAATATTTTCCTATAGGAATTTTTGACATTTTTACATACATCGAAAATTTATGACATATTCCTACATATAGGAAAGTGTCACAAATTCCTATAGGAAAAGGTTCCTACAAGTCGAGAATTGACCCCCAGAGGGTTAAATTTCTGGATATAAATGTTATATTTTTATGTGACAATTCGTTCCGTTGTCAATAAATGTTTTTTAATTTTTGAAAAACTTATGAGTTTCTGGGTTCAAGTTATCGTTGGTGCACCCTGTATATAAATTTGTGTTAATTTAATTTATTTTTTTAAATACTAATAAATTATTAAATAAATTTGTTTTCCTAAATAAGATTTCCTTTAAAAATAATATATCTATACTAATAAATATACATAGCCATATTTGACAAGGAGCAGAATGCGAGACAGAATGTTTTTACTAATATATTTGACCATAGAGAGATGGTAATTCCTTGTCCTCTCCTTTAATAGTTTTATTGGTGATAGTAATCTATATTAGAGACCTCTAGCAATTATTAAATACTTAGTATATTACAAATTTCCTCCCAAACAGAAAACAAAGATAATGCATATTGATGGCTTAGCACACACATGTGTTAAGTAACATTTTGCTAATATTTCACAATTTAAGTTTAAAGGGTTGAAGCCATAGCTCTCCGTTATTTCACAGGAGATGTATCAAGACTTCTTCGTTGCTTTTGATCATATAATAAAGCAAAATAGCAATGTTTTACACGTTACTTAATTAGCAGTTAAAGTACAAATTTAATAATTATAGCACTTAACACATTTGGAAATGAATCCTGTGCAGTTATCTCATTTGTGTAACGATTTGTAATACACCTTTCCCCTTATTCGATCATTTCGCATTACTCATGCGCGAAAAAGTGCGGGTCTTTTGAATCTAGTAATTTTTGAAGCAACTTATTTTCTCTCTCTCTCTTATCCTCCCCTATAGGGAATTATTGTTGTGTTGGCTACAACGGTTGTCCTCTCCATGGTTGTCCCTGTCTGTCATCGTTCCAATAACAATAACAGTGTTAGTGTATATTTTTGTTTAGTTTCATAGGAGTTTATAGAAAATATTTTTTGATTTTATAATCCCAAGACAATGCGTTGTTGTGTACCCACTTGTCCAAATTCTGGACCAAACAGAAAAACCGAACGTTTTTTTGCCATTCCAAGCAAAAATAATATAAAACATCACTGGTTAGCAGCAATAAAAATTAATCCTGACTTAATAACGGAGAATATCAAGGTAAGAATAATAAAAACTTACTAGTTGTAGTATCATATTAAATTTTGATTATAGTAGACTTACATAGATTTATGTTATAGGTATGTTCCTTGCACTTTAGAAAAGAGGATTGTTTTAATTTTTCGACAAAAGTGAAATTGAAGCCTGGAGTTATCCCCACTTTAAATTTAAATAATGTAGAAACAACAGAAAATATTCATATTGAAGATAATCCAATACAAATAAGAAAACGAAAAACTATCTTCAGTAGAAAACAAGCTAAAATAATTTCAACCTTTTGCATTGAAAAGTTCAGACAAAATGACAAAAAAATTTCATATTATACTGGATTTCCCAGTTGGAAGATATTTATTATAGCTTATAACTTTGTATTTAAATCAGAAAAGGGACCTGTTGGTGTCGTTCAACAGAGACAGGCTAAGGGAAACTTAAGGAAACATCATAAATTAACTCCTTTAAATGAATTTTTTCTAACTTTGATGAAAATAAGAAGAGGATTTGACTATGAAACATTAGCTGATATGTTCCAATTGTCAAAATCTGCAGTAGGGCGGATTTTTCTAGCATGGATAAATTTATTATATGAAAAATTGGCTGGTTTAAACATATTTCCCCATCGTGATGTGCTTTTAGATAAAGTCTCAGATGTATTTAAAAGGAAATATCCAAATGTAATAGGTAGCATAGATTGCACTGAATTTTTATTACAAACACCTTCTTCACTGGTACGACAATCCCAGTGTTATTCACAATATAAAGGATCAACAACTTTAAAAGCATTAATTATGATAAGTCCAAGTGGTGCAGTAATATTTGTATCTTCTCTTTATACAGGTTATAAGTTATTTTCATATCACTGGGGTTGAAATTTAATGAAATTTTTTTCAGGTTCCATATCCGATAAAAAAATCGTAGAAGAAAGTGGGTTTATCAATCTTTTAAAGAAAAAGGTAGAAATTGGAGAACTAAAAAGAGGTGATTTAATATTAGCAGACAAAGGATTTGATATTAAAACCATCCTAGAAGATGTGGGCATATCCCTTAATATACCAACTTTTCGTATATCTGGTATTCAGTTTCAGCCTAAAGAAATTGAATATATTAGACATATTGCTAGGGAAAGAATACATGTCGAAAGAGCAATCCGGAGGTTGAAATGTTTTAAAATTTTATCCAATAGAATTCCAATTTGTTTACTGGGTTCTATAAACCAAATTTTTACAGTCTGTTCTTTATTAACAAATTTTTTATATGAATTAAAGAAATAAATAAAGTTTTAATTTAATTCATGTTTATTTGCAATATACATATTATTTAAATTTTAGTTAATAAGAGTGAATATAAATTGTAGAAATATTAAAATGTTACTATTTAAGGACAAATTAGGACTACTATGTAGATAGGTGTCACACCAGCACACTTAAAAAATCAATATTTGTTGAAGGTCTAAAAAAGTATAGTTACCTTTTATTGTTAAAACATCACCTAATATTAGAGTCTTCAAAAAAAGATTAAGAACTATTTTCAAGTGTAAATTTTGTTTTCTATATTTACTTACATTAAGCATTTTTTGTAAATACCTTTCTTATTGTATGCTAAATAAAGAATTTATTTATTCATACAAATATTCACTGAGATAAAAAGAGTCAACACTTGAACATGGAAGGATGTGGATTTATTGTTAAAAAAACAAGCGTTTAAAAATTTAAATATATATTGTATAAGTCAGTTAATTTATCATACATATTAATACAAAATAATTCATTGAATTCAACCCGAATTATGTGGCATTCATTACTTTCTTTTAAATAAACACATAAATCGCACCACTTTAAACCTGTTATCAGCATACATCCCTGCACCTGATAAAAATAATTATGATTCTCTTTTAAACATAGTTTTTTATTCTCATCTTCCTTTAAGAAAAACGTTTTGGACTTTAAGGCTTCTTTTAAAGTATTATACTTTTTTGAATATGGACATTTTATTTCCAAAATGCCAAATTGTCCATTTTTGTCCTTAATAATGCCATCTGGACTAGCACCTAAATAGGGGGCATATGGATGAATAACCAAACCACAATCAAACACATCATGTTTAGTTATTGTTTTGTAAACATTTTTTCCATGTTCTTCATGTGTTTTGCCATGCTGTATTGCATTTACATTACTTAGGTCTCTGATTTCCCAAAGCTTGTTAAAATAATCTAAATCAATGGCCTTCTGTCTCTTGCATAAATTTCCAAAACAAGATGACGTAAAACGTTCACGTCTAAGCATGTGCCATTCATTGCAATTGCTCTGCAATTTGGTTCTTTCTTGTATTGAAGACGAATCTTCCATCGTAAATAAAAAAAAAGAATCCTTTCTTGGCAGTGGCTTGGATATTAAAATATTAATACACTCCATGTCCATGTTTGGCAAATTTATTGGAACAATATCATCCTCTATTGCATTTAATTTCTGCATACCTAATGTTGTCATGCTTTCATCTAAAAAAAAAAATAAAATTTTTAATAATGCAGGTTACAAGAAAAAAATATGTAAACATGAAATATTCTAGGAAGTAAAACTTCTTCAAATATAATTAATTTACATTATATACAAAATTAAAGTAATTAAGAATTTAATATGTTTTATAATGGTATAATAAAGCTTATCATTACAGGGATTATCTCAAGAATACTAGGAACAGGTAAAAAGGGTGAATGATTGATATCTGATTGGTCATTTAACAGATTGTCTAAATTTTTAAATCTATTTAGGTATTTCATGTGTCTCTAAATGGTTTAATTTAATGTCCTTGTTTTGTAAAATCTCACAATTTTCCTTATAAGAAATGTAGAATTTTTGTTTTTAATTAAACTGTTCTGAATGTAATTTATTTATTTATTTCCAATTTAATTTAATAATAAGATATAATTGGTGAATGACTGAAACAATCAAGAATATATAAAATATGTTATTTACCTCTGTTATCTAGATTAAGTATATAAGAAAATGGAATATTTTCATTGATTTTCTTGAGTTTGCTTTTTAATATCTTTATTTTCATTTCTCCAGAAACTTCCTTGCCAGCAAACGCTGTTTTTGGAGAAAATAAGTTTGGACAAACAGGTCTTTTCTTTCTATTTATGTTTGTGGGCTTCTGGAAAATTGTCTGCAAAACACTTTCTGGGGCAATCTTTGAACCTCTCGGCTTATTCCATTCTATAGGTTTCGAAGTACATGATAATGATTCAGGAATTTCACTATCTCCACGAAGTATTTTATCTTGTAAATAAAATCCCAAACCAATAACGTGATGACAAGACTGTGATAACCTAAAATTATAAACAATAATTAACTACAAATATGGGTTGGGGTCTTGATGCTAGGACAGTTCGGATCATTATCTCGACCCTAGCGGAACCCTTATCCAAATATGTATAATCAGCGATAATTGGGCATTAAAAAGGTAATAAGTACTTACCCAACTTCACAAGAGCAGTGACATTCTTTTAAGTTTAAAAAATCATTTTCCTTCCTAAATTCGAGGACGAGATTATGAGGCTTCTCATTTCTCTTCTGGCTATGAAAACATGTCGCTTTCACGGAAGGTTCAGATTCATTTATCCACACATCGTGAATAAAACCTTCAACAAAAAACTTGTAGCCCCTAGAATGCTGCTGTTGGGTGGAACCATGTTCCTCGAAAAACTTTTGAGCATCGCCAAAATTAAAATGTCTAATACACTGTAGATTTTTTTGCCACATCTCCATAATAAAATAATCAAAATCAAAAACAAACCATCACTATCAAAGACGAGAACACAATGACATTTGCCGACTGTCATCCGTGTCATCAGCATTTGACACTCGGGGTAGGAAACATAACAATAACAATTTTTGGTTACTTTAAGAGGGGGTAAGATTCGCGCATGAGTAATAAAGACCATCAAAAAGGAGATAGGTCTATTAATTTATCTTTTTAAACTGTTAAAAATTAGTCAAAATCAGCGTTAAAACATAAAAGTTTATTGACGGCATAGAAATTAAATATTTGTGATATTTTTTAAATATAAATAGAGAGAACATTATTTTTCGGCGTCATCATAATCTGACATGAAGTTGGTCATTATCTAATTGGTTGGTATCCCCGACAAAAAAAAAATGTGTATAATCCTCAGGGACAACTTTTAGTTTTAACAACTCTAAAATGTAATTTTTTTGCTTCTGAGCTCATGGAGATTCGAAGTGTACAAGCATTTTAAGTTGCAGGATGGAAATTCCAAAAGAGTTAATAGTGGGGATCTTCTAGTGCTGTAAACTTTTTGTGTGTCTATTTCAATGCAAAAATAATTAGACAGATCATGCTTGTATTTAATATTCATAGGCTTGCTTTTTGGGACTTAATTTCATTTAATATGCAGCCACTTAACGTTGTCTTCCTGTCACTGCACACAAATCACAAATGTTTCAAGTGCACACTTAACACCAATGTTCTTCATAATATAAAATACTAAATGTGCCAAGCGCAGTTGACACGTTTGTGATTCTATAGATACATAAGTATTTATCACATTTGTACAGCAAAAAACTACGAATTTAACAGTGAATGCACCTGCCACATTTGTCCAAAATAAAGATAAAAATAATGTGTACATATGTATTCATGCACTTAACACAATTTTTCTCAAAATTGCATTTAACACGTGTGTGCTAAGCCATCGATATTAAGAACACACCAAACTATTTATCATTTAATAACCTCTTATACTTAATAAGTTAGCAGTAGTGAGGCCTTATTAAGAAATTACACTATGTACAAACCTAGTAAATTTTTTTCCACAAATTGTACAAAGAAACTTTGCAATTGTAGTGACTGAATGTTCCTTTTCATGATTTTTATAATCTAGTTTGTTAAGGAACGTTTTTCCACATGTTTCGCATGAAAAGTCTAAACTATTTGGTTCATCTACATCACTGTTACTTAAAGGTTCTGTATTACAAAAACTATCGTTTCCAGCATCACTAATATTGTTCTTATTAGTATCATCTACATTTAAATTGTCATTCGGTTCTACAAAGCCTGTATCTTTTTGGATAAGTTTGTTTTCTACAGCAAAAGAAATCTTAGATCCCTCTAGAGCTTTCTTAAATTGTTCTAGTGATTTGTAACATTTTTGTTTGAATAAATAAAAACTTTTTAAATGGTCACAACAGATTTTGCAGATATTCTGGGGATAACGGTCGATTCTTGATATCTAAAAATACGATATAAGAATAATTTATTTAAAAACAAGGGAATATTTACTTGAATAGAAGTACATTCTAGTAATAACAGCTCTAATGATCTTTTGATTTCATTAACATCAATATGATCGAATAAAGACGTTAAATTAGTATTTAGCTCTAAACAAATCCGACAAATAGTATTTTTGTTCGAAACCAAATTTGCAATTTCCATATTTTTTAAATACCGGCCCTGACCACTCATAAAATGTATAAATAAACATTTGGGGACCTTGACAATGTCAAATCTGTATTAAGTAAGTCGTCCTTGAACGAAAATCGAAGTTCGGTTATATCGCGTGAATTTAGAGATGGTAGTAACAAATCCGTAAATGTACATAACAGTTACAGATTTGCTAATATTCATCTCTAAATTCCAGTTTAACACCAGAACCACCTAGAACTTTAGAGACGTTGTAACCGAACTTTGATTTTAGTTCAAGGACGACTTACCCAAGTCCGACTCACGTATGTTCTGTTTATAAATACGGGCCCAACTCAGGCCCGTACTAAAATCGAAGTTCGGTTACAACGTCTCTAAAGTTCTAGGTGGTGCTGGTGTTTGATTGGAATTTAGAGATGGATATTAGCAAATATGAAACTGTTATGTACATTTACGGATTTGTTACTACCCATCTCTAAATTCACGCGGTATAACCGAACTTCAATTTTCGTTCAAGGACGACTTACCCAAGTCCGACTCAGCTGAGTTTTGTTTATAAATACGGGCCTCAGATAAGTTCTGTTTATTCAACTTTACCAAATTTTCAGCTGAAAGATAACATTTATGGAGGCGACTTATAATAAAAAGAAGACGAAGATTATTTATGAAAGCGTACTTATTAGACAAATATATCTGGCAAATATTTTTAGAACGCCACTGCCACTGCTAAATTTTTGAAATCCATTTTATTAACCTATAAAATAAACACACTTGTTTTAACAACTAGCAACAAAATGCAGGGATCTAGCGAGGGGCAATTGCAAATTAGACTAATAACAAAACAACAAATGTAAGTGACCAATAGTTTATTCCCGTAAAATATTTAACAAATTATAATTTCAGACATGCAGTCCCAGACGTGCCCCTTTCGGTCCCACAAGCCATAGATACGAAATCTTTAAACGAATTAGTAAATCAGTTGTTAAGAGAAAGTAATCCAGATCAATTAAAATCCGTAGAATTTGATTTTCTAGCTATTGGAGAACTTCTGAGGGTTCCTCTAATTGAACATTTACAAGAACGCAATGTATCAACAGAAACTACAGTAGAAGTAGAGTATATAGAAAGAACCCCGGCACCGGAACCTAAAGATTCTTTATTACATGACGATTGGGTTTGTGGAATAGAATCATCAGATAAATGGTATTTTTGTTTGTTTTAGTTAGAAATTTTTTAATAAATTATTTATTTTTAGGATTTTAACAGGGTGCTATGATAACTCTGTAAATATCTGGACGACACATGGAAAAATAGTAACATCTCTAAAAGAACACAAAAATATTGTAAAAGCAGTCTCTTGGATAGACAAAACAGATGCTGGCAAAGGTTTTATAAGTGTGTCGCATGACTTAACAGGAATTATTTGGACATATGAAGCTGGTAAGTTGTTTTGGGGTATGGTCTGATATTAACAGACTACTAACCACTAGTAACCAGGATTTTTTGACAGCATCCCCAAAAAACAAAATTATTTCTTAATATTTCTAGGGTCCGGAAAAATAACTAAATAATTAATACTGGGTGTCCCGAAATTAGACGGTCATATTTTAACAGCGTAATCTACATTCTAAAATAGTAAAAGTTCATATAATCATAGGTTTCGAAAACGTTTCTTTTCCGAGATACAGGGTGTTGAAGTCCTGATGACACACTTTTGTAAATATTTTCTAAACGTTTAAAGATAACTAAGTCAAATTTGGTACACATGCTTACCTTTTTTGCTCTATTTAATGGACTAAACCCAGTTTTTGATCATCTTCATAGGTGGGTAAATTAGGGAGGCTTAGGGTACAGTTTTTTTGTTGCCAGTTTTTAACACTTTTGACTAAAAAATTTGGAAAACCGATGTTTTCTTTACAATGAAGCTACTTTTGCTGCATCTCCCTAGGATGCAACATTTTCAAAAGAAAAGCATTTGAAAATTTCATGATAAGTTCATATTATCTTATTCGAAAGTGCAAACAATAATTAGTAGGCCTGTGGAATCATAAATTTTATTTTTTTTTTCAGCTTTAGAAAACCGGTGACTAAAAAAATGTATTTAGCTTTAATTGTTTTTTAAATGGTTATTTTATAAAGAAACTTTAAAGTGTGTCTCAGGACTTCACTTTTAACACCCTGTATCTCGGAAAAGAAACGTTTTCGGACCTATGTTTATATGTACTTTTACTCTTATTTTAGGATGTAGATTATGCTGTGAAAATATGACCGTCTAATTTCGGAACACCCTGTATATGGATTCATGGAACTATTTTTATAAAATTATATAAATAATTTATTTAGTCATAAAGTAATTAATTTGGTACAGATTATATAAATATGTCTAAAAGACATATGGAAAAATTTACATGTCTATAATGATTTTAAAAATTACACATTAAAATAAATTGACAATTTACACTAAATACTTGTAGTTTGTATACATAGGTTAAAGACGTTGGGTGTTCTGCAAGATTCTGCCCCCCTCCATTAGCAATTATTATTTTAGAGCTTTTATTCATTTATCCACCTAGTTTTTAGGGTTCGTTACCCGAATGGACATTATTACTAAGCCTCCACTGTCTATTCGTCTGTCAGCGGGCTGTATCTCATGATCTGTAATAGGTAGACACAAAGTATATTAACCGTTGAGTAGCGACAGCTGGAGAACCGAATTCTAGTGCGCCGACGCGAAATAGAGAGGCGGACGTCTTCTAAAGATGTAAACAACCCCTTTCACTTTAGTCCGGCAGCTGATATAGGATTTCGTTGTTGTGGATTTATTAGTGCTCTTTTATTATGTTTTTGTTAAGATTTTTTGAGGTTTTGTGGGTTTTTCATTATGCCAGGAAATGCATGTGCTATAAGTGATATATATTTTTATATTTACTACATAAGTTAAATACTCATAAATATAAAACTGCCTAATGACCAAACCTTTAATATAAATGTAAACTACAAAAGAGTTTTACTTCAAATTACGTCGAGCAATGTAAACATCACATTCAAGACCAGTTCATAATTCGAGCAGTGTTTTACTGTGTCGTTCCGTCAAAACGTCAAAAGAGAGAGAAAGAAAATTTGCACCACCCAAGATCAAAGGCACCGACGCTACTCAACGGTTAATATACTTTGGTAGACAGTTGAAATTTTCACAGGATGTGTATTTCTGTTGCTGCTATAACAAATAAAAATTAATTAAAAATTAAAAGGGGCTCCCCTACTAGAAAGGTGTTTTTTGCTCTATCTTAAAGTATTTAAAAAGTACCTGTTAAGTCTTCACTTATTTAGTATATGTAAGTTTAAATTGAAAATTATCATCCAGTATGAAACGTAATATTTCACATATATATTATTCTCATTACTTATACTTCGCCAAGACGGTATTGCCCTGATTGGTAAAAGACCACTTCCGCGTGGCGAAGAACGATTCTTAAATTCAACCGGGCGAAATCAGTATCGCCGCAAATTTCATAGAATACAGTCGTGTATTCAAGCTTTATGATAATTCGATACAAACCCTCAAATTACATTTCCGAACATTTAAATACCAGCCCTAATACAGTCCACGGCCCCTGCAGCTTAGGGTGGACGCGCCAAGAAGAGAAGTCTGCGTCAGGAAGCCAAGGAAAGGTAGGACCTGATTGGCGAAGCTTTAAATTTTCTTACGCATGTGATATACCATTAGCTTAACCATAACCTATTCATTGGTCTTCGATCTGGAATTCTACTGGATGAATAATTATAATTTGATATTTTGGGAAAATTATTACTGATAGATCTTGGCATTTAATAATTTTTATTTAACACAAAATTATTCTCTTCTCTCGAAGAAATTTATTTAATTAATTCGAAATAAAAGTTTTGTGTTCTCTATTCTTTTCTATTCAAATTGATTTTTTGCTCGTACAGGTGATATAGTGGATTTAACAGTTGCTCAGGTCGAATTTGGTTCACTTTATTCACTATCTCACTCTCATATTTATAAAAAATTTAAAGGTAAAATTTTCCTTTAAAAAATTCAGTTGATTTGACTAGTTTATTTAATTATTTGTGTGTTTCGGGAATTGTACTTATTTACCTCTCTCTCATCTCATTATTAATAAAATACAGATTGTCTCATAAAGTGATAGTTTTCACCTTGTTTTCACTTATATTTCTCTTTACTCATGATTTACATTTAACAAAGTACACATAAAATAACGTTAGATAAATCATTATTAAATTATATTAAGTATTCATATTTGTTACAATATAAATATAAATGGACGAGAAAAGTAAGAGAAAACAGAACGAAGCGTTAAGGCCAATCAATCGAATGTTAGATATTTACACAATGTCACAAAAGGCGCTCTCAGATGCTACTTATTTTAGTGCATTCAAAATGCGATATACAAAATTGGCATACTTGGCAAAACAATATTTTGCAATCAGTCGCACTCGATGATGCTGAAGACCCTAAGTCAGGTGACACACTAGAGAAATTGATTGCGTGAAACTTGTTCGTGAAACATGTTTACATGAAACTAGTTTATCGTTTAGTGCACACTGTAGAAACTATTTTCAAATTTAATATTACTAAAATATTAAAAATAACTAGTTGCAAATATGCCTTTGGATGAAGCAGATGTAGTTTTATTATGGTGGGCGAACCGCAGACTAATAATTAGAATATTAAACATATTATAAAAAATGTAAAACTTATTTTATTACCTGATTCATTCATTTCCTGCGCTACTTTTTCCCATGCCGTAGCCACAGAGTCCCTTTTGCTATATTCCGGTAACTGATAATTATATAAACAAGGGTGTTGTTCGAGAATTTTAACAAGCTTAATATCAAAATCGGTTTTTTCTTTTGGCATTTTGATTAGCTACTAGTAATAAAATCCGAAGAAAAATAATAAATTTTATCACTATACCGTCCTCATCGCACGGTAAATACTATGCAAATAAAAGAATTTTAAGAAACAGCACGTTGCATTTCGCGAAACTTGTTGACGAAACAATTTCTGGTCTCCTGTTTCCGAAACGCCAGTGTGCATCGTTTCATATAAGTACATGGGTTATTCGATATTGAAACGAGTTGCACGTTTCTTGAAACGAGCTTCACGAAATTCGCTTCTCCAGTGTGTCATCCGCTAATGTACAGCGGGATATCGGTTCAGTAGATAGTAAATATTTTGCAATAAAAGAGGTTTACTACGATTTATTCGAAACGACGGCTCAGTCTACTCAACCTCCAGTGCAAAAGAATCAAACGAATATTAAACTCCCTAAATTAAATGTACCAGTATTTTCAGGTGACTTTAAAATGTGGCCTACCTTCATAGATCTTTTTAAATCGCTAATACATAGTAAAGTTGAAAAATTTAAATATTTACAATCATCTCTGGTGGGTGAGGCTTTAACTCTAGTAAAAAATATAAAGGTTACAGAAACAAATTATGATATTACTTTTGATAAACTAGTAAAAACTTTTCAAAATGAACGAGCTCTTGCAACATTCTATTGGGAAGAAATTCATAATTTCCCCAAACTTAACCTGTAGATCAATGGAATTTTTTAGTATTTCATACTTTGAGTAAAAAATTAGACTCTGAGACACTACATCGTTTTGAGCAAAAGCACGCCTCATCAGGAATGCCCCAGTATAATGAGTTGTAAAATTTTCTCGAAAAAGAATGTCAGGCTTATGATTCGGTTGCTTTAGTACAACCCCTTAAAAAATATTCTACTTTCTCTAAACCTCAGGTTCGCTTAGGGTGGACGCGCCAAGAAGAGAAGTCTGCGTCAGGAAGCCAAGGAAATTAAAGGTAGGACCTGATTGGCGAAGCTTTAAATTTTTTTTAGCGCGTGACGTACCATTAGCTTAACCATAACCTATTCAGTACCTACATATTATTAAATCTTGTATGATGATGCAGAACCTTCTTGCGTGAGTCCGACTCGCACTTGGCCGTTTTTTATACATTAATTCTATTCTGCGGTTTCTTTTTAGCAGCAAACTTATACTCATAAGCGTTTTTAAAAATATTTTCGTTTTGTTAACTTATGAACTACATCAATGTGTTTCCTGTACAATGGAAACGCACACTGGTGAATTAACACAAACATATGTGACACTATAGTCAAAGCTCGCTGATCTGAAAAAATGCAACATAAACACTAATTGTCTCCGAGTTACTTTTTAGAGAGCCACAGGAGGTGAGGCGATGAGTGCAGGTAGCCTAAGCGGTACACAGACTGTCTCGAAGCGACCTAGCTAAGAGATGAATATGACTTTGAGAGCTTTTCTTAAGTCTTCCATTGGTCCACTCTGACAGTAGGATACATTCGCGTGCTAGGGATACTATTTTTAATAATTAAAATGAGATTATCCATTAAATTTTACAAATATTTTAGAATGTCTAAAATAATTTCTGTGAAATGTAGATGAGATACTTGCATTTTTAGTCAGTTCTGAATCTCTACAGCACTTATGCACCAGCCACCACTGATACGTATTACTAATACAAACTACAGCTTGTCAATGTCATCTCCAACTTTTAAATAGAGTTTACTTAAAATTATATTTTTGGACATACATTTGTCATCTTAGCCATTGATATACACATTTCAAATTATTATTAATAGTTGTACAAGTCAGGAAATTTTAAGCTATCATAATAAATTAGAGTGTCATCAGCAAAAAAATGAATTTTACAATTTCCAACATGCACACATATCATTAATATAAACTAGGAACAGCAGCGGACCCAATACAGTCCCGTAGGGTACACCTCTATTATTTATTTGTTAAGATGTTTGCTTTTAATTTTTGTGGTCTTTTATGTAGGTAATCTTCCAACCACTGTAATGCCACACCACCAATACCTATATTTTGCAACTTTTTAATAAACCTATATCTATCTACCGTCTCAAATACCCTTTTTAAATGTAAAAATCCTACAAGTGTAGTATGTTTATCTTGTATATTTAATTTCCACCCAGCAAGCACACATTGTATAGTTGCTTCACAGTTATGTTTGCTTCAAAAACTCGTGTGGATAATCATATTTTTCCCACAGCACAAATCTTAAGAGACTTTTCTAGGCTTGGCTACTTTTGGCAGTGGTATTATAGTTATTATTTTTAGTATCAAGGGGTTCTTTATCTGTAGAAGTGATTAATCATATCATAATAGTAGTTTTCTAATTTTCAAAACACTTTTATTAAATAAGGAAGTAGTTCCATTTTATTTGACTTTTTATTAGTACCATATTCATCAGAGCTATTTTTATTAGGTAAATCAAATATGTCTTTAAGCTCTAAATTATTCAATAAATGGAAATCTTTAAATTATGCTAGAAAAGAATCATTGTAAGGAAATCTGGGCCTGCCCTGTCAATACTGTCAGTAATAGAAATAAACTCTATACTTTTAACATGAAATTTATTTAAAATATCAGGGATTTCCGTGGGATCATTATAAATTTCGTTTTCATTAATTTGAAGCTCTACAATATTATTTGGTCCTATATTTTAGGTACTGACAGTGTAACACCAAAAGCAATTCTTAGAGGCCATGAAAGAGGAATAGATACTGTAGGAATAAGCCCCAATTCCTCAAGAATAGCCACAGGAGGATGGGACACCAACCTAAAACTATGGTCTACATCTTTGGAAGATGATGGAAGTGAGCATATTCATAAAAAGAGTCGTTCTAGTAATACTGTGCTTACAAAAACGCCTCTGAATACTTTAAAAGGTCACAAGGAAGGTATATCTGCGGTGAACTGGATAGATAATTATGTTGTGTCCACCGTTTCTATGGATCATACCATTAAATTTTGGGATGCAGAGGTAAGATGTTCATTAACTACTATTTTAGAAAGTTGACAGATATCATGAAGTATATTTTTTTAGCTTTGCGGCATCAAAAATGAAATCATAGGCCAAAAAGCCTACCTCAGCTCCTCATGGTCACCTCTGAACAACACCCTTTTAGCTTCATCAGCTGACAGGCACATAAGGTTATACGACCCTAGATCTACGGAGGGCTCTTTATGTAAAACAACATTCACCTCACATACACTATGGGTCAGTTCAGTAACTTGGTCAAATTATGATTCAAACCTCTTTCTATCTGGTGGTTACGATTCTGCCGTCAAAATGTGGGACACCAGAAGCCCCAAGGCTCCTCTATACAATTTACAAGGACACCAAGGACAGGTGTTGAAAGTGGATTGGTCGAATAGGAAGTATATGGTATCTGGTGGAAGTGATAACAGTGTACATATATTCAAGAATAAGCATGTTTAATAAACACTAATATAAAACAAAGGGTTTTTTTTTTTTTTTTTAATTTATATATCTAATTTTGTTCCTTTCTTCTAAGTAAATGGTTTACCTCCAGCTTGAAAATGATGAGCCCCTAAAAAAATAGTTATTTTTATTATCTGCTAACATAATTATTGCAATATTTACCCTGAAAATTGTGAAGTAGGAGTAGCAGCCTGCTGGGCCAAACTTCCAAATCCAACGGTATTTTGAGTAGCTAAATTTCCAAAACCAGGACTCGCACTTCCGGTTGACTGACCAAATGAAGCTGAAAAAAAGCTATTAACCGTCGACAATATTTATTTTTCAATTTTACTTACAAGCTGGCGGACTAGCGCCAAAAACCTTTGAAGGGCTTCCAAAAGCAGGAGCGCCACCAAAAGCCGGTGTCGCTCCAAAGCCGCCAGGACTCGTTCCAAAAGATGGTTGTGGTGAACCTCCAAATACAGGTGCTGCTCCGAAGGCTCCAGACTGTTTCTGAAAACTACCTGGTGAACCGAACCCAGTCTGTCCAACTCCCACTCCTCCACCGCTGAAGGGTCCTGGCTGAGTATTGCCAAATGACGTATTTCCGCCAAAGCCACTGCTCTGTCCAAAAGTGGCTTGCTGCTGCCCAAAACCTGAAGGAGAACCGAAAGAAGTGGATCCAAATGTATTCTGTGTATTACCGCCAAAAATACTACCACTATTAGCAGTACTAGAACCAAATATCGACCCAGTGGTAGAAGGAGTACCGAACGCGTTGGAACCATCACCGAAAGCCGGTTTTTGTTCCGCAGCTCTACCAAAGGGATTCGGAGGTGTTTGTCCGAAAGTAGGGCTACCACCGAAGATGCTACCACCAGATACAGGAGAACTGCCACCAACATTTAAATCACCAAAACCTAGGGAACCGGCAGAATTTGCAGCCGAAGCGAAACTGAATGACGAACTTTCCCCGGAAGAACCGAAAACGTTACCAGAAGAACTCACGGCACCAAAAGTACCGCCACCCGAACCAAAAACGCTACTAGAAGTTGTTGGGGCACCAAAAATTGAACCGGTATTAGTTCCAAACGGTGCCGATTGACTAAAAGCAGTCGTTTGAGGAGTACCAAACGTACTTGGACTACCAAAAGTACTAGTTGTTGTTTTTGCACCAAATATCGAACCCGTTTGGCTAAAACCTGAACCAAAAGCAGATGTAGTATTTGCACCACCAAATACTGAATTAGAGGTGGTTTGAGAGGGTGGAGATCCAAATACGGATCCTTGAGTGGTGGTAGGACTTGCAGAGCCGAATATAGACGTTTGCGTTGTTGGAGTACCACCAAATATTGAACCAGTTGTTGAAGGTGGTGCACCAAATATTGAAGATTGTGTAGTAGATGTACCACCGAAAATAGGAGCTGCACTAGTTGTATTTGTACCAAAAATTGGAGCTTCTGTAGCTGTTGTGGTACCACCAAATACAGGAGGTGTGCTAGCAGTACTACTGCCAAAAATTGACGTTGTTGCAGGAGTACCAAAAACAGAAGCAGGAGCATTAGATCCAAAAATAGACTGCGTACTAGTTGTAGGAGTACTAAATATAGACGATTGAGTTGTAGCTACAGGGTTACTAAAAATAGAGGTTTGTGTAGTTGTTGCAGGGCTACTAAAAAGAGCTGGTTGCGTAGTAGCAGTACTACTAGCAAAAATAGAAGAGGTGGAAGTAGGATCCGAGCCAAAAGTAGGTTGACCAAAAATAGAAATTTTATTATCCTGGGTAGTACTACTACTTACTGGCGATGAAGAACCAACACCTGTTTTAGTAACTGCACCGGTTCCTCCGAAAATACTACCAGGACTACTTACAGCAGCCGCACCGGCAGCAAAAATAGAATCACTAGGTTTTGAAGAACCTGAAAATGCAGATGGTGTAGTTGTAGTGCTAGCACCAAATATTGATGTAGTATTTGAAGTGGTAACGGTTGCAGGCGAAGAAAATATAGATGAAGTGGAACTTGGTAAACTAGTAACAAAAAGAGGTTTGGTACTGCTTACTGACGGAGAACTAAATATGGTTGGCATATCGCTTACTGGGGGCGTTCCAGAAGTAAATATAGATGTCGTACTACTTATTGGAGGCGCAATTGAAGTAGTACTGCTTACAGGAGCTGTGCTCACTTCAGGTGTACCAGAACTGACTATAGATGGAGTACTAGATGTTGCAGTACTGGAAGCATCGGAAGAAACTAATGGTGAAGCAGACGTAACAACAGTAAATATAGATTTAGTAGAAGGTAGTGAAGTGGGGACAGTACTTTTTACGGTCGATGATACAGCCACAGATGAACTGATACTCTTAGTTGTATTCTCAAGAGAAAATTGCGTGGCACTATCTGCCGATGTAATGGGTTTAGCTCCGAATATGGACGAGACAACAGAAGGCGTTGTAATAGATCCAAAAAGAGATGTAGTGGTTGTTGTTGTGGCACCACTAAACAACGAATTAGTAGTAGTTAAACCTGCTCCGAAGCTGAAGCTAAAACTGTTAGTAGAAACTGGCGAAGTTACTTTGCTGACAGTACTCGCCGTCGATGCGAAATCTAAAGATTTGGCGGTAGAACTAGTTGCTGTAGAACCGAAACTAATCGGTTTTGAAGCCGTTGTAGCTGAAGTAATAGTAACGGCCGTCTTTGGTAAGGTTGTATTCGTTTCGGAAAACGTTGGAGTAACGAAGGATACTGGTTTTGTACTGATTGGTGTAACTGTTGCGGTTTTGGTGCTTGAAACTTTCACGGTACTATCAGCTAGTGAAATAGTAGTAGCGGTGGATTTTCCAAACGAAAATGTGCTTTGGGGGGTAGAACTGGTATTAAAAGGTGTCGATTTTACAGCTGAAGCTGAAGGTGTTTTTCCAAATGAAAACAGGTTTTGTGTAGCATCGTCTCCAAAAGAAGGTAAACTACCACCGGCGAATATTGGCTTAGAGGCTAGAGGAGTAACAATGGCCGGTGTAGTCGAACCGGTGTCTGTTTTAGCCGGCGGATTTGCGGCAGAGGCAAAATTAAAAGTAGCTTTGGTGGTACTAACACCAGACACGGTCTCCGGCCTTTTAGCTATCGGAGTAATGCTGATAGCGCTACCAAAGTTGAGTTGGGACGCATTAGTAATAACATTAGATTCTTGCTTCGAAGAAAAGTTGAAAGATAGAGTTGTAGAAGCAGCAGGAGCTTGCGGTATTAAAAAAGTTTTAGAAGTCGGCGTTGTAGGAACGAAAGCAGACGAATTTGATGATTGATTTTGGCTCAACAGAGCAGCATTCTTTGGTATAGGTATAGATATAGGAGGCGCGACAATATTGCTTTTCTCGATTCCTTTGAATGTGAACGTTCTAGACGGATCCGGTAGTGCAGGCGTGTTTGGAGGTACAGAAGTGGGTTTGAAATCTTGCACGAATTTCACAGGAGTGGATTCAGAGAATTGCAGGTGTTTGGCGAACGAGGGCTTGGGGACGGGGGACATATGCGCGCCAAGTATTGAAACAATGTGTTTGTTTTTTGCGATAGGAGATCTGATCAATGATATTGAAGCGTTCAGTTGCGGTTTGGCAGCCGTCACATGGGAAACTTCGTGAGATTTCAACAGATTTCTTAGCTTGTTTCTTTTAGATAACGATAGAGTCTTGCTGCGTTCCAGTGCTTGTTCGTAGAAGATGCGGTGTCCGTCATCAGGGTCTAGTTGAAGACGTGACAGACTTTCTTCCAATTTATCGGAATTGTTCAGAGACAGGAACAACGATGGATTAGTTGAAGATGTGTTCTTTTGTTTCAATCGGCTACCTAGGTAGTCTATAATGTAACTCTAAAAAAATGATTATTAAGTCAAGAAGTTTAATAAAGAGAGAATGGGAAAGTTAAGAAAAAATTACCTGTTTGTTCAAAAGAGCATTTTCCAAAACCATAGATTGAAAAATGGTTTCCATAGTTGGCATCTGAACTTTGTATGTTTTTTTGGCATAATCCTAAAATATAAAAATTTGAATATACGTTTATTTTTTTTTTTTGAAATGTAATTCGATTTAGTGATAAAAAGTTGTGGGTTGTGAAGAGAACTTTTTATTTTTTAAATTTGTTGAGTTTTAACCGCGAGTTATATCGCTTATCATACAATATAAAACTAAACTATTATCATGTAAAACAATATATTTTTTCATTCGTTTTTGATTGTAATAGAGTGAAGATTAAAAAATAAAGTGTGTATTTTCAAAATAGATTTTTCGTTTTTAAAAAAGTTTTATAGTTAAATAAATTTAACTCGCGCCCTATGAGCCCTACAAGGGTAAACATTTTAAGTTCATACATTGTTTTGCTTATAGCGTCAATTAATGTATTTAATAACAAAAAAAAATTGCCAAAAAATATATTTAGCCGCGCCCTCGCGAAATGCCAAGTTGAAAAATTAGACACTATACGATCTGCGCAATCAAAGTTTTGTCATTTGACTTATCTAATTAAATATGAATATGAACCAGGAAAAAGAAAAAATAATGTAGATAGTTACTTTAATTTTTTAAAAAGAAATATCTAAGGTCTACAGTTAAAAATCACTGTTAACAATTTAATCATCAATTCGATTTTACTATTAAAATGGACATTACATCAATCAAAATAGAAATTAGATGTCTGACATATTTGACAGCTTATGGAAAGTAAATTTATCCAAATACGTGTGATATAAGATTAAATAGTGTGATGGATGTAACTTTCCTACTTTGCCGCTTAAGATAAAAAGTTGCCGCGCGACGCACAGCGGAGTGCGGCATTTTATCGTAAGCGGCAAATAGTTTTCCGCTCGTATTACACACAAGATTTTTTTCTACGATCACACGATATTAAAAGTATATAGTTTTATTTTGCCAAATTCAAATTTTACTACGTTAATTTGACAGACACGGTTAACTTGACTAGCAAACGAAAAGTATTTTATGTGTATATTGTGTTGCCTGCTTACTTGAAGATTAATTTTATGATTAGCACAAAAAATATTTGTTAGTAAGTACATCTAAAAAATAAGTTCCAAGATCGGCTAGAATACTCTTAATCGCAAATTGATGGTTCATCCACTGTTTTAAAAGTTTTAATTTTACAAATAAAAAATCAATTTAAAAAAAATAGATAATAACTAGTGAGGATTGAACTCACGACTATCCGGTTCAAAAACAAACGCGCTAGGCTCTACACCAACAAGACATGTTAAATATGAATGTTAAAAGCAGGGTATTTATTTTTAATATTTTAATTATCATTTAAATATTAAGGAAAATGAGTTTGGGTATTAAATGTTCAACTAAAAGATTCAGATTTCATATTTTCTTTTTAAATACCGATTAACTTTATAATAAAATTTTCTAATGAAAATAGGCGTGCGCAAATAGTAACTTTCCGCCTATATGCGGCAATAATGTCAAACTATGACAATTCATGGAAAACGTCAACTTTCCAGTTAGATTTGAATGTGCAAAAGCCTACTTTGGATAGTGATCGTAGAAAAAGTTTATTTACATATATATTTAAAAAAAATTAAAAAGGGTGGCTCACTTTACCTGAAATTTGTCCCACTGTTCATCTAAAGCCTTGCTGGCCTGATACAATTGAGATTCCAAATAATATATCATTTTTCTTATGTCAGTTTGGCGCTTTTCGGCGGCCGAATCTAACGGTTGACTCTTTAGTAACATAGTCATGGTTTCATCTTTGGAGGTATTATATCTAGACAGTGCTTCCTCAAACCAAGCCCACGACAAAATTAGATTTTGCTTAAGGGAGTGAATCTAAAAACACAATAGAACTAATTGCGAGTTAGCTCAAAAATATGTCACTTACCTCTGCACTTTCGCCCAAACTAACGTCCACGATCTCCTTAATGAAATCTCTCAAATTGTGTAGATCTTTCACCATCTTGATTTTTTCTTCCTCGCTGCCTATATTAATGTTTATCCGCCTTCCTTGATGCAACAGAGCTTTCAATTCAGATTCCAATGCCAGACATTCTTCTCTCACCATTTTAGCTAGCAATGCCTCAGTTTCTAATTTAACTTTTTCTTCTACAGCAACTTTAACGTCAACATTGCTTCTAGGCGTTTCGGAAATGGCGCTTTTTGGCGTTTCTGGTATTGCTACAGATTCTGTAGTAGGTCTGTTGAATGGAGCTTCAGGTTTAGCGCTTATGATGATTGGTTTCATATCAGGTGTAGGTGCAGGTAAAGCGCTAGGTGTCTTTAAAGCGGCGTAAATCGATGAGTACTTCTCGCCGCCGCCAGTACTAGTACTTGTTGGTTTACTGACAGGAGTCAAACTCAAAGAAGCATTTCCAAAAAGCGAAGCAGAAGAAGAAATTTCGGTTGGGGTTTGAGATTGAGGTTGGGGTTTGACAACAGGTGTTATGGTCACTTGCGAACCAAAGAAGGGTTTGCTGTCAATCGGTTTACCAAATAATGAACTAGCGGGCGGTGCAGAGGATGGAGCAACGCCGAAAGATGGAAGAGGTTGTTGGGTAGGAATAGGTTTGGCAAAACTGAAAGCCGATTGTGTTTGAAATGGTTGAGTCGGTTGTGGTGTTGGTTGTATCAATGTCGGTTGATTAGTCTGAATAGGAGATTGGGGAGCCCCGAAAGAGAAAGTAGATTGAGGTTGTTGTTGTGGTGTACCTGTAAAAAGATTTAAATAGATTGTCTCCTGTTTCTGTTCATGAAATAAAACTTACAACTGCATTAATTGGAAAAGCTATAGCTATTAAACCCCTGTGAAGATCTGGTACTCAAGCTAGTAGATAAGGCGGTTCTAATTTAATTTAAAGCAGCAGAGATAAGATGGTAAATAAATTTTACTCACTTTTTGTTACTGCCTCCTTAGTTTCCACTATGAACTGTCCTATTCCGCTCATATCGTTGATACTATCAGGGGGACAACAAATGGAAGGCATTCCCTGCCTCAAGTTAACAATATTAAAGAAATACAAAACGCCTTGATGCGATAACAACAATAAGTAAGGACAAGGCGCTATGGTCCCCTCACCCCATGGCAAAGGTTTAGTGCTGCTGGTATCCATAGCCATACCAACAGGAAGAGTATCCTGCTTGTCGGCGCTAAGGGGTAGTTCGGCTCTGGCGAAATCAGGAACGTTCCATTGGGTCCAAATTTCGGAGGCGCCTCCTAGTAAACCTAGTTCCATACTGTTTGATGATGCTATCATGAGCATATTCCTAAAAATGTTCAAATTGGATTGTTCATACTGTAGAAATTTCAACTATTAAAACTTACCAATGCTGCAATAATATCAAATAAAACTGTGGATTCCTACTTGCCCCACTATAACAAACATCATCATAATTGGTATAACTCGTCTCTCCGGTTTTAGGGGCATCTATAACCACCAACTTGGCTTGTCCGTCTTCGATGGCTTGATAAATTCCAATAAACTGGTAGTTTGAAACCCAACATAGTGATATAAGCGAATGCGGAGTTTCGAAGGTCGGGCCGTTTATAACTTTGACGGCTTTTAAATCTGGTTTGTATTGAGTAATATTGCCGTTTTTAGAACCGACTGCTATTTGTTTGCCTTTTGGACTCCAGCAAAAGCTCGTACTTTCGGCAGCTTGAGGAAGTTCGTTGATATCCACAGAATTGCCTGGAAAAATTTAAGTAATAAACATAATATTCATGTTCAGCTGAGTATTAATTTTACAATACCTTTAATTTCGTAGATTCCAAGACTCCTATCACTTTTACAAGCAGTAAATATGTTGGGTAAAGCAGGATTCCAATTTACTTCAGTAGCATATATACCTGGAGAGGCTGAGAGCCTTACTTCGTTAATAACATTAATGTTTTGCTTGTAAAACGATAATACATCATAAAATATAACAGTAGGGCAATTATCTTTTTCAACGACGATGGCCAGAAGAGTGCCGTCACAGTTAACGCACACATGTTTGGGTACAGAAGGTAGAGGGACATTTCTTCTTGGGAAATTTGAAATTTCCTTATCTTTGGGGTTGTAGTTTTCTACAGTTTTTAACTGAATTACTGAAAAAATCACAATAATTATAACGGTTATTTGGCAAAATCTTTTGTTTAGATTGGATTTATCATTTTACTTATATATTATCAAATTTAGTACGGGATTCAGTACTTTTTAATATTTTAATTGTGTACGACATAAAATATTTAAATTTAATTCCTTATTCATGATTTTACGTATTTATTATAGATAGAATACATCATATGTCGCAACCTTCTAAATATACCACCGACAAGTTATTTTGTTTTGAATGCCTAAATCAGTATTAAGCTGCGTAAAAACCGTGTCAACGAATGCCATAGAAGGGGTTTCGTTGGCGTGGCATAGACGATTTAGCGAATACAGCAAGTACCAACGAAGGTTCGCTGGCGTTTGCCAACTAGCGGAATCGTAGCGGTAACATCAAAGGAATGGGCGATTCCAGCGAATGAAATGTAGACGGAAGTCCATACGAGTATCATAATCATAATGTACATTTAATGTATTAAATCAATTAAATGTTGTCCTAAACTATATTTTGTGTGTAATATTTTTTTAAAGACAGGCTTTTTACAACTAGCATATTATATAATCAAGACATTTGAAGTCTTTACTATCTTAGCAACTGTATATTCGAATAACAATTGGGTATAAAAGGTTTGTTGAACAGTGTAAAATTTTTATTTTTGAGAAAAGAGAATACATTGCTCAACTATTGTAAGTACCTATATTTATTTGTATTTTAATATTTTTTATTCATATATATTATGACTTATCCTATATCATGTAACATGATCCTGAAGGACAAATAAACTATTATTATTATATATATTTATTTGTCCCTAAATTCAAGAAACAGAAATTGTTATTTTGTTGTATGTAAATAAATAAAATAATAAAATCTTTATTTAGCTTAAGCTAATAAATACATATATTTAATTATTACAGTTTAGAAAATTAAGTTAATTGATTATATTTCAAGCACAAACAGATTTTTTTATCGAAAGTGGATACTGAAACACTTTCTTTTATATCATTTGGCAAGGCATTAAAAAGTCGAATCCCTTCACAAAATGCAGATCCTTCCAAAAATGCTTTCGATGTATAATCTATATTCAAATTTGAGCCTGATCATAAGATTCGAATGTGCATGTCAAAACTGGTAGATAGCAAGCTCCACAAATATTTTGGCACTTTCCTGTTTACCATTTCATATACAAAAATCAGATTCGATCTCTTAATACCCTGTTCTACCAACATCCAGTTTAAATCTTTCAGTATTGTGCTTATAGGTGTATATACAGTGAGCACCATAAGTCTTACCCCCCCCTATCTAACTCGTTACTGGAGTCTTGTTAGGAAAATCACCGAGACACGTCCATTTTTGATTTCTACAATGTACATTTTTGTTTGAATAGTTTACCCTTAATTTCATCCCTTACTGGAGGGGAGCAACCCTTTCGAAAAATTTAAATGGCATGGGGTGGTGAGTGATAGCTCATTTGATAGAGGGTTTTATTCTCTATTCAACCGTGTAAAAAAATTTAAAATTTGCTTCATTAATTCTCGACTAATTGTTGTTTCAGAATAACGGAAATTAACGTAGCGCACTCATCCTTAGAATTAAAATTCGGCCCTGCATGATTTCGGTTTTGGTTCAGACGTGAAGTAAGAATTTTTGCCATTAGAAGGTCACTGTTAGTTTAGTTGCTTTCCTATTTTGTGAGGTTTTGTTATTTTTAAACATTAATAAATCAACACGTAATGAAGCAAATTTCAAAATTTTTTGCACGGTTGAATAGAGAATAAAACCCCCTTTCAAATGAGCTATCACTCACCACCCCATGCCATTTAAATTTTTCGAAAGGGTTGCTACCCTCCAGTAAGGGATGAAATTAAGGGTAAACTAATCATGCAAAAATGTACATTGTAAAAATCAAAAATCGACCTGTCTCGGCGATTTTCCTAACAAGACCCCAGTAACGAGTTAGTTAGGGGGGGTAAGACTTATGATGCTCACTGTATATTGCAATTCTATAATATCCTCATGCATTTATTTTGTAAAATCTGTAGCCTTGGTATTTGTTCCTTTGTGCTTACTAGAAGTAGTGAAGCACAGTAGTTGAAATGCGGATATACAATTGTGTTACATACCAGCATCCTTGCTCACTGTGTCAAATCCATGGATATTCTTTTAAAAAAGCCAATTGTTTAACAAGTTTTTTACACAAATATTCTGCATGATTTGTAAATAGGTACTAATTGTGGATCAATAATGACTCCCAAATATTTGATTTCATTTACTCATTCAGGTGATTTACTATTTATATTAAGAGAATAATAATTTTTTTTATACTTCAGACAGTTTGCCCTTGTTCCCAATACCATGTACTTAGTTTTAGTAGAATTTAATTTTAATTTATTAACACAAAGCCAATCATACAGAATATTCAGTTCATTGTTGAGAATGTTAGTTATTTCTTCCAATTTTTTTCCGATTAACTTTAAATCAAATCATTATATATTTTAAATTTCGGTCTTGCGCATACAAGTGTTAAGTCACTTAGGTGGCATTTATATGTACAAGCTTAAGTATTTTGTTAATATTATTTATTATGGGTGGGAAAAAAGTTTCAGTATGAGAACATTAAACACAGGAAATTTAAATATTAAGAGTTGTTTTAGCATTAAGGGTAGATGTTAAAAAATATTAAGATGGTATAAGTGGTAGCAACATAATGTAACTGTAGATTACAAATATAGAAGAAAAAAGTGTTAAATTATTCTCAAGTTATAACTCTTTAAAATATGTTAAAAGGGTGTTTTTAATAACTCAGTTTAGAATTATATTTGAGATTCATGATCTGAGAAATTTGCAATAACACACTCACGAAATAAAACATACTTTACAAAACTCATTCTTTTGAATACCACAGTTAAAAATATACTTGTTTGTCCATATTAATAGAAGGTAGATTTCTAGTTTGGACAGGAACTGAAACACATGTCTGTACTTATGCTCCCACTTTTTTTGACAGACAAAGAAGACGAAGCAACTACTTCTCATAGGGTGGCGGCTTCACCATCACCAGAAAATATCAACCCATACCTAGCTACACCGACCGACATATACTCCAATGGCCTGGACACAGCCCAAAAATTGAAATGAAAAGTCTCACATAACCAGCGTCGGATTGGGACCTCCAGATCAGAACGGACAAGGGTCCACCATTTTTTTCCTTGAAGAGCAAAAAAAAGTCCTTGCACACTGATGCTTCTTCTGAGGGTTTCTTCGCATTTGTTGTTCTCAAGGGCTTACTGACTGAACAAAGGCACACTGACTGAACGAGGGCCCACTGTCTGAACGAGGGCCCACTGTCTGAACGAGGGCCCACTGTCTGAATAAGGACCCACTGCTTAAATGGGGACCTACCTATCTTTTTGTCAAGAATCCCAGAGTTTATTTATTTTAATTAAAATGATCTAGATTTACCTCTTAAAAAGTTTGAATTTGATCCAACAAACAACAGTCCATATCGACTTGCAGCAGATACTAAACTGTGATTGTTCGAAAATGTAGCTAACTCATTATTATCAAAAATTTTCAGACTGCAATGTAATTTAAATTGGATGTCCTAAAAATAAATAGTTTTAGCTTCGATTGTTGTCATTTTCGTTATAACTTACTTGCACGTCCACAGGATCCGGACAAGTTTTTAACATTTTGTTAAATGATGTCTTCAATTGCAACTCATACAAATTTCTGTGAAGATTTCAATACACTAGTTACGTTTTTTTTCTACCCTTTTCTAAAAACCTAATTCACATGCAGTAAATATTTAAAAACGGGTCTTAATTAACAGTTTTTTTTTAAATCTCAAAGACCAATAACATAACCAAACTTCAAAAATTTTGCGTCTTTTAAACTTTGTTAGAAAGTTTGATACCGAACATAGAACACTTACTCTATACCGAACAACAAAGAACTAGTCGAGAACTTACACCTTCACCACTAGATCAGCAAGCGCGAAACAAAATGAAACACCAACTTCATATTTGCTGTTCATACAAAAATCAAACTTTAGTCATTGGTTTAATGAGGACTATGAGGAGCAAGCAGGAGATTTTATTGATGTGAGATGGAGATCTCCTACACAGATTTCATGTTATTGTGTTTATTATCTTCCAATTTTTGCCCTTTTTAACAACAAGCCACTGCTTTCCGCGGAAATAGAGTTTGTTCTGTGTTCTTGTTCCTCTTTATTAAAATGTCAAACAAGGAACAAGCCAAAAGCTAACAAAACGTTACTGTTTTTATGTCTTGTCATTCTTGTCAAAAATTTTTGACATAATAATAGGTTATGTTTTTATAGATACAAAATTTACAAATTCAAAAACTTGGGAGACTTATAAATTAAAAAAATACGTCCAAAATTATGGCAAGTATTAATAATTAAAATCATGTTTCGATTTAATTAATAAAAATGTATATTTTAGTCTGGTGGGAGTGTAAATATATGTAGTGTAACTCCAGAAGTTAAACAGGCTTTGAAAGACTTCCGTTTCAGAAAAGCTAATGATACAGCTGCCCTTGTTTGTAAGTATTTAAAACTACAATTAATTTTCATGTGTTATTAGTGGATTTTTGTATTTGAAATTACGCTTCTGTTATCAATTAATGACTCATTCGAACCATGACTAATTTTGATAGCTATTATAATTAGTCCACACCCTTTGAACCTATATTTTTTAGTGAAAGTAGATCGTGAAAAACAAGACATCATCGTAGATGAAAAACTTGAAGGCATCACTGTAGACCAACTTCAAGAAATTTTACCTAGTCATCAACCTAGGTATGTTGTTCTTTCTTACAGACAGGAACACAAGGATGGGAGGGTGTCCTATCCTTTGTGCTTTATTTTCTTCACTCCAAGGGACAGTCATGCTGAATTACAAATGATGTATGCTGGTTCTAAAATTGCTTTACAGCAAGAGGCCGAGCTTACAAGAGCTTATGAAATCAGGGAGCTTGAGGATTTAACTGAAGAATGGTTACTGGAGAAACTTGGAAATTAAAACATCACAACAGGTATAAATAATTCTGTAAGGTAAATATTTGAAGCAAAAAAATATCTACACACTGTTTATTGACATACAGTAGAGCGTTGATAATCCAGATATCAATAATCTGGATTCAATTCCGGTGAACAAATAGTTGAAGTGATGTATAAACCATACAGTATTCTATAAATACATATTGTACATTACATATGTATGTCTATTCTTTTATTAAAATACATTATAAGTTCATATTAAGTAATGGTTTTATTTATCTGCTCAATTATTTAACCACAAAAGTAAATTATCAACAATTTTAACAAGTTTTCTTAAACAACCGGTCTTTGTTCCTTTCGAAAATTCGGACATTTTGATAACCCAGACAGGGGCTGGTCATAATTAATCCAGATTATCAACGCTTTACTGTGCCTATATTTTCTCAATAATTTTTTTACTCTAATATACTTTTTATTTCAGGGTATTGATCTCTAAATAGTTCCTTTAAATATCTACCTACATCTTGCCTAATTTTCCTGAAATTTTTATATTCATTTTTATTATACTTACCTACCTATAAATAATATTTTAAGGAAACCATCACCCTTTTCATTCCAACCTTTAGTAATTATTAATTTTTAAAATATTGTTTATACAATTTAGAGAACATATTTTAGTTCATATATTAGATTTATTTTGTAAATTAAGTTTGTTATATTGTATAAAAAGGCTAAATGTTCAATTTGTAACCCATTTACATTATTTATTTGTGACATTAGAACAATATATAATTTAATTGTTTATCAATTTTTATAAATTTTTAATAAGTAAATTCTATTGTTGGAACATATTTCAAAAAACTGTTTCATATAATAATTGAAATCAATGATTTTCTTTTTAAAATTCCTTTAAAGATATTCAACATGTATTTTTTTCATTTATAATTTTTAAAATCTAAAAAACCAATTTTTTAGGGGATACACTATATCATTGCCAACACATCTGAAAGCAATACTGATCTCAGTGAAAAATATGTGTTCTAATTGTAACAAAATACAGTCATCTCATATAATCATCTATTTTTTTTAATATATTTTGCTTATAAACATGTAGGTATGAATCTGCTTTTCTTTTTTGGGCACACATCATAATCCTTTTTGTTTTAATGCAGATTCATTGAACATAGAAAGTTTTTTTAACACTTTATTTTGTATAAATTTATTTACTTATCACTTTAGTAACTATAGTTTTAAAAGACAATAATGCTCCACCAGAAAAGCTTTAATAGAATGATACTTTAATTTTATGTAAATTATGTAATGATCTCTTCTTAATTATTGATCATTCTTGTATGATATTGATACAAACCATAAATGGTAAGGGGCCTTAAACTCTACCCTGCTGAACTTCTATCTGATTGTTTAACATTCCTACAACTTTTTTATGTATGGTGTCTTCAAAATAAATAAACTCAACAAATATTTTAAGTCATCACAGAATTTTCATTAAATGTGTGTCCAACAAGCTTTAATGTGGATAATATGAAAAAATTTGCTCCTTTTCAAACATTTTTCACAAGACTTATAGATTTGTCATTAAGAAATTGTTCATTATAATAATTAGGTACCTGAAAATATAGCTATTAAAAATATTTATACAAACAAATAATATATAATTACCTATAAGAATTTTGTGTAATTAATTATTATATACCTATTTTATAATACTGGATAATGAATTGGAAAACGTGTTTTACAATGATACAATAAAATGCCAAAAATACTTGAGGTGATTCAAAATTGCTTTGATAAATTTTATTTATTGAATTATATGTTGAAATATTTCTTTACAAATATATGTTGTATTTTGACATGTGAGTGAAATTGCTATCTTAATAACTACATACACTTTCAAGTTAGCTGCATTAAGTGTTTAGAAAATCATATAGTCTGTAGCCCATTACTGATTTTGGTCAAGGCCTGAGTTACCGAGATTAAATATACTAAAATTATTTTTCTAAATTTGACCTCTTCTATCTCTTTTCTAATTTAAATTAAAAAAAATGATTTTTTTAATGTCTAATCTAACTACGAGGTTGGAAAGAGGCGCGCGACTCCGTCAACTGAAAAAAGTATGTCTGGGAATTAAAACGTAAAAGTACTGTGCTAGGCCTGCAGGATGGAGAATTGGAAGTTGTAATAGTATGGCAGTCGTCCTAAATGGGTTAAATACCTACTCTGGTGAGGACGCTACCAGCCCAAGTTCATTATGACATGACACATAATCTTTATTGATAGATTTATGTGCACAGGGTTTCCCAAAGAACATTAATTATAGTCAAAAAATTTATCAAAGCTTTGCTGAATCACTGTAAAAAATGCAAAACATTCCAAAGTTAACCAAATAGCAAAATAATGATTGTACAGTTTCCATTTTTTACAATTTTCTACCAAATGTCTCATGACTAAGATCTAAAATTACGCAGATATGTTTGTTTTTATGAAACATATAAAATCGATTTTTTATAAACAATTTACGTATTTAGGTATTTAAATCAAATAAGCAGAAACAATAATTAAATTAGCTTTGTATTTTTGCAGTTGCTTTTTAGCGACATATGCCTTCTTTAAACAATTATTGTAAATAAAAACGAATTTATATTTTTATTTCTCGCATATTTCTATATATTTTGTAATGTTAATATAGAAGCGGACTCATGTATGTAAATAAAAAGGTTTATTACGAATGTTTACAAAAAGTATGATTATGATGCAAATTTTGTTTAAAAGTATTAAAGGACATTGTGAGCATTGAAAATGTTTTATTTTGATATATAAATCCTATCACTTTTTCTGTTCATTTTGGAATCGCTGTACCAAATCCTAACAACAGAAGGAAAGTATAGAAATTATGATCTTTTTCGACCTCTAGTTTTCGACGGATTTTTACATTTAGGGTCCCCTGAACCTGTTTTGACTATTTTTGCGATGATGTCTGGCTGTATCCACAATAACTCAAAAACAAAATCGGAGTAAAAGTCAAAATCAGTAAATTTTAATTTGGTTTGAAGTCATAATGGACTAGAGCTAAAATTGAATTTGGTAAGTTTTTGTTTTGTTTTTAAGCTATTGCATAGCTTTTATCGCGGGCTTTGAACGCAGCGACCGAATCAAGAAATTCCGTAACGAAAATAAACCTCCCCCACTTTGACCGACACAGCGGTGCGGCGTTGAAAGCCGTGGAAGGTTTTATCCGACCCTATTCGTATTAGTATGAAGCGGAGTTAAATATACGTCTGCGCACTGGAACGTTTATGCAATACAAGAACTAGAAGAGCTTTCTATGGCTTCTAATAAATTGGTATCACAAATGTTCCCGGCTGTCGTAAATATTAGATATTAATTTTTAAGCTATTGCATAGCTTTTATCGCGGGCTTTGAGCGCGGCGACCGAATCAAGAAATTCCGTAACGAAAATAAACCTAACACCCCCCACTCCGACCGGTGCGGCGTTGAAAGCCGTGTATCGTCTAACGTCGTTTCAGTTCGGCAGACAAATCGAAAAAAAAATTCCGTAACGAAAATAAACCTAACACCCCCCACTCCGACCGGCACAGCAGTGCGGCGTTGAAAGCCGTGCATCGTCTAACGTCGTTTCAGTTCGGCGGA